TAAAAAAATATATTTGTTTATATTTATTATAAATTAAATGTTAATATTGAACCATATTAATTATTTTTTTAATATTTTAATATATGTATACAATACGTTATTTTTTATGTACAATTTTAGAAATATTTATAAATCTTGTAACTATATATTTAAGTAATACAATGCTTTTTTTTTATATAAAGTATAAATATATACTTTACAAATGTACAATTTTCTCTTATAATTATATCATAATAAAAAAAAGTATTGTAATATTTGTAATTAAGAAGATTATATATATTCAACTTTTAACCATTTACATTAAAAAAAAATAAAGAAACATTTTATTTAGTCTTAAAAATATTTCTTCTATATTGATATACACAACACAATAAATCTATAAATGTATATCTAAAAAATTTGATTAAATAATATTAATTTCGCACAGCCTCAAAAGTGAAATAATGTAAAATTTGTTTAATTTCATTTTACATAAATAAAAATTAATAAAACAAATACCTTTTAATCATCATCTGATTCATCAACTTTTTTTTGTATATCTTCAAGTTTTTCTTCTTCTTTATAATGTCGATATTCTGGTTTTAACTCCCACATATTTCTGTGAGGATTTTTCAAATTATAATTACAAACTTCATTTAATATTTCCTTTAGATATACCTATATATAATATGAATGAATAAATAATAATTAAAATTGATATAATGTATATGAATATATTATTTGTAAATAAAACGTTATTTACAATAGGTTGTCTTGTAATCTTCACAAGATCTCTTATGTTATAATATTGATGTTTTTCAAATGCAGCAAATAACATATCCAATACTGCATCTTTATCATCTCTCATCTTTTTACCTTCTGCTTTTTTCTTTTCTGCATATTCAATCTATAAAAATATTTATAATAATAATATAAAAATGTTTATATAATATATTTAAATATTTAAGTAATATAATATTATATATTATTATATATAATATTAATATACTCACATTATGCTTATGATCAGAAACTGGTTTGAAATTTTGGACTACTCTATCTAATTGTTGAACTTGTCTTTGTGGTACAGAAGCCCTTTTAATACTTTGTAATTTTAATTTCATGTAACAATTATCAGCTAAAGAAATAAATGTAAGTTATATACATGTATTCAATAATAAAATATTTTAAATATTTTGAGATGATATTTTTACCATATGGACGACATTCTAATTTTTGTACAATTCTTCCTTCCATATAAAGTTTTTCAGTTTCAGGAACTATAGAATCTGAACTACTTGAAGCTAGAAAAGATGAATTTATTAAAATATATAATAAATATCTTATGTTTAAATATTTTTTGCAATAACTTACGAGTAACATGAGAAAATACACCTAACATTTGTTTTGTTACTGTTGTAACATCTAATCTATGTTGTTTTGGAATTTCTTCCTCTCCAGGTTCTTTTAAAGCTAAAACAGCTTCAGATAATCTAAGAGATACTTCTGCTTTTTGACCAGGATTTCTAATAATATATATATATGTAATATATTGCTTTTATAAAATTATGACATTAAATATGATTTAATAATTACATTTAAAAACATACTTAGTTATCTTTAATTTACCAACTTCTATATTGCCAGGTGCTTTTTCCCATTTATTTGCTATATATTTAGGTACCTTCACAAGCCATACACCTCTGCCTGCATTACTTAAATCTAATTCTTTTTCTGTATGTGACACATTCGCAGACATGATTTATTTAAAAAGAAATTTTATTTCAAAAATCAAATATTATATAGTAAAATAAATAAAATTATATTATATATAATATTTCTATATTTCATAGAAGGAAATATATAAGAAATATATAATAATAAATTTTAATTATTCTAATTTTATTAATAATCTAATAATAATACTAATAATAAATCTAAATAGTTATTCGATTTAAAAAATGTAATGCCTATCAGTTTTTTTATTTATACAGTTAGGTTACAAAATATATGATATATATTTCAAAATACATGAATAGAACTAACCATTGATAACAAATATTTTAGATTCACTACACATAAGGAAATATGATTAAGTTTTACAAATATTATACATTAAATAAGATTCTAAATTAAAATATACTTTATTTATATTTTTTATTATATAAAATTATTGTAAATTACAAATTGAATAAAATATGAAATAATTTGCGATTTAATGTTAATAATTTTTATACTATACATAACTATAGTTACATACGATGCGGATTTAAAAAACAATAAATTTAAAATAGTAAATATAATAATAAATACAAAATAATAAAAATAATTGAGTTTATAAATTCTTTTCTCATTAAATTTAAATAAAATTATTTTCAAAATAATATATTGATTATACATATTTTATAACAAACATAATAATATTTATAAAAAAGTGTATGATATTTTTAATTTCTTTTTCTTATTTTTTCTTCAATATTTATAAATAAATGAATAATTTATTGTTTTTTACAATAATATTATGAAATATAAATAATTTTAATTGAATAATATATATATGGAAATATCAAATAATCAATGCAAAACATAACCTCTTAAAATAATTTTGATAAGAAATATAAATTCATTTTTCAAATTCTTATAAGAATTTTGTATATAATTCAAATAATATTTTTTATTATAAAATGGCATCTACATTTACTGTTATAACTCGACAAATTTCAATATTATCAACATGTTATGGTAAACGAAATTTTCGTATGATTCAATTATACAATAAAAGAGGTAGTCGTATGTTTAAGGAAGAACGAGCTAAAAATCCACATTACGATATTCCTATTGATAGTAAGTATATCTTTATTTACAATATATGATAATATTTCTCTTATATATTTTTAATAACCAAAATGGATAATTACATTTTATATGTAATAATTAATAAATATTTTCAGAAAGAGGTGTAAAATCAACAGGGATGTGGGTAAAAAACAAATGGGTTAATATACCAGAAATGATACCAGAACTTGTTGTTCCTTCTTTAAAAGATTTTCATTTAAAACCATATGTTTCTTATAGAGTTACAGATTTTACTAAGCGTGAATTTACAGCTAAAGATTTATTTAATATAGTATATGCTGATAAAATAAAAAAAGATTTTGTTGAGGGTAAATTAGATCCAAATGGTGAATCATTAAATCCTAGTGAAAATGAAAAAATGACACCTGAAGAAGCTAGGGAACATGCTGAAATGACTGGTACAGATATTTTTTTAATGAATAAAAAAGAGATTAAATAATATAAAATATTTCTATTAATTGTAATATGTATTAAATTTTCATTGTAATTGAATAATTATCTTCAAATAAAATAGATTCAATATTATATTTTACATAATGTTTTATTCAATATGCTGATACGCACAATGTATACATTTCTTGACAATTTTGTAATTTATAAACATTAATTATTTACCATCATATATGATCTTTAAAAAATCATATATTAAGTACAAAATATTTAATTTATTGCAAATACAAAAACAGTCTGTTTCAATTATAAATGGAGTGTATTGCATATTTTCATTGATTTTACATAATTAGATTATTTTACTATATTTTTTCAATATCACACTAATTGATGGTAAATAATTATTTTACAAAGTACTTATATGTATTAATTAGACAATATATCAGCAAATAATAATTTCATATCATGTCACTTTTGCAAATATTTTTACTGCTAATAATCTTGCAAAATTCAATGGTATTTTAATGAAATAAACTTATTTAATGATAAATTAATATTTATAAATGATATATATTTTATGAAGTTTTGAATTTTTATCATTCTAAAAAAGACATAGATGAAAATACGTAACATACCAAAATTGATTTTTCAATTCCCTTTGAATTTCTCTAAAACAGTTTTCGAAATGTCTTCTTGAGAATAATATGCCAGAACAAGATCTCGCATGATTATGCTAACTTAACAACTATTTTTTTTTACTTATCAAAAGATTTTTTGAGCGAAGTTTGATTGTTTTTGTTGGGTAAAAAATGGCGGAAAATTTGAATATTAAAGTCGTTGTCAGTTGTGCGCGGCCGGTATTGCTTCCTACTGACTACTAAAATCTAATACATATTTGCTTTAAAAAGTGCTGTATTCGTATCAAAATTTAACATATTTTTAATTTAAAATATAAACATATTTAAGTTAATATTAATTTCATTTCTTTTCATTTAATAATAATTATGTAAAAAGTTCATACAGCAGAACTATTTTGTTTTGAATAAAATGATAATTTTGTACTTACATGCAAAATATAATACCAATAATTTAATGCAATTTATATTTTTATATAGAAAATAATAAAATATACACACATAATTCAAAATATAAACAGTCACATAGTTATTTTAAATATTATGTATACAATAATTTTATTTAAACGTTTTTACAGAATGCAGCACTTTTTTCTTTATTTTAAACAGCAGCTACTATTTATCACTATTTATTGTTTTATTATTTCTTAATTTTCTATAACGATCATAATGAAGAGTGGAATGACGAAACACCTAGTTTTGTACAATATTATTAGATAGATATTAATAAAAACGTATAACAAAAAATTTTAACTTGGTTTCTTCATTTTATTAATTCCACTCTTCAATAAATAGAAAAGCATAAGTGGCATAATTCTTGCATTTAAGTTTAAATTAATTTTATTTCGTACGTTTTTATGAAATGAAATATATTATTATTTTACATACATTTTATTATTATATTTTTTTTATTGAGCATTGATTCTTCTTGTTTTATTTTTTAAATTTTATTTGAATTATGTATTTTAATTAATTATTTACCAAATATTCAAATGGAAGTTAATAAAATTCATAAATTGCGATCGATTTTTATATACTATCTTCTGATTCTGATTGATTGCTTTATAATATCATAAAAATAATAATACATATAAATAACACATTGTTGTCATTATATGATAATTTACTGAAATGAATAGTGTTCAAGAAGCATATCAAAAGTATTTTTCGTTAATTATCATTAAAATATGTATATGTATACACATTGTGCTTTCAATTAAATGCCATTGTAAAACAAGACATATGCCACTTGCTCATGAATATAAACTTGGTGTTTTCTCTTGTTAATTATCAGTCTATGATATAATTGGATATTTGACTGAGAAAATCAGCCAATTAATAAGGCAGGCGCACATGCTACTATATGACAAAGATTTTTAACAATATTCATTATATATGCACGAAATATGTCATGTTATTTTATGAATGAAATATATGAATATATAAATATATGATAAAATGTGATGCTCAAAGCACATGGGAAAACCAAATTTGAATAAAAGCAAATCTTTGACATTTAGTATCATGTACCTTCCATTTAATTAAAGATTTTGCGTATGAAAGCTAGAATATTATGGAGGAAACAGTTCTATAATGAAATTTATACAACAGTTTAAATACGTAAAAAATAGATACAATAGAATACATAATCATAAAAATAAAAATACTGATATGGAAAGACTAGGAAGGCAATACTGCTTATTGTATTTTGTATATCTAATCTAGTCTTTCAGACTCAAAATCTCCAACACTAAAAATACAACAAGATAGATGTTTATTCCATTGGATCTCCAACGTTTTCGAAGATGGTTGAATGAGGGTTGCTTCCAGTGGGCCATAAGAAACCACCTACACTGCCAGGTGGCAAATATGATGCTCCTCCACTGAGACCCACCTGATATATTTTCTTCTTTAAATTATTTACATTTGTATGTATATTCAAAATTTAATATCTTTATTAATATCTTATTATTAAAATGTTAAAAAACAAGAGTATTAAAAATATTAAAAAATAAAATTTAGAAAGCCAAATAAGGAAAATACAAATAATATGCTACAAATAATATGCATTTTCCAAGCTTAATGTTGAAATATATTTAATATTGTATTGTTTAGGAATTCAATCATAATAATTGTGCTAATATGATAGTTTTTGTGATTGTTGAATTATGTATTAGTGCAAATGTCGCGTTGTTATTGTTTATGTATTTAACAGGCAAATAAATAACTATTTCAAAATCATATTGTACAGTTATCAAAATAAAATTTTAGTTTTCATTTATATATATATATATATATATATATATATATGTATATGTTAAAAATAAAAATATGGTAATTTATATAAATACATCATTTCTTAAAAAAAAAAAAAAAAAAATCAAAATTTTTTTGTTAACTGTACATTGACTTTAATTGGATTGGTACATGCATGAATTAAGGCAAATTAGAATGAACAATAAATCGCCAAATTAAAGAAAAATAATTTTTTATTTGCATCTAACACAAATAATTGTGCTTTTGTATCACAAATAACGTCTAATCGCTATTATAAACAATACTAATGATATTTACATAAATTCATCATTGTGAACATGATACACGTTCACAACAATATTAACATTATGAAAGGAACAAGTAACATAATATTCTATTTTGAGTTCGAATATAGATACGCAATTTTGGCATGATTTAAACTTGTTCCAAAAGAACAATGACGTCATGATCGTTGGACAAATACCAACAAGTTATTTTGTATTCCTTTCCGATAATTTTTTTATATTTAATCCAAACGATTTTTAAATTTCTATTTATAGAATTACCTGTTGGCTCCACAGCAGTGTCCTTTCTGCTAACTGACAATCTGCTGCAAGTCGAGATGGTAAACTTTTCCATCTTTCTTCATCTCGTTTTCTTTCTCTATCAAAGTCTCTATCAACATGTCCCTGAGA